CTCTTTGGGGTTGGCACCATCAGGTAGGCCAGTGGGAAGGAGCCAGAGGTCGAAGCGGGGTCCAACGAAGACGTTCAAATGAGTCCAGTGTTGCATCAGGACCCTCTGCAGAAATTCCATGCATCTACGTCGATCTAGCGTAGACCTTGACTCCACAAAGCTGACATTTAGATTTCCAAAGTCGTGGAAAACAGCTCCACCACCGGACCTGCGTCGGGCTAGGCGCCAGCCTCGTTGCTCCACTTCTTGGGGATTAGCCTCCAGCCAGGCGTTTTGGTTGAGACCGATCACCACGCAGGGGTCGCTCCTCCAGAGCACAGCGTCCGCGAGTCTCCGTCCTTCTCCTGTGCTGTCCCTCTGAAAACGTTTTTTGTCCGCAAAGAGAGTGGCCTCAAAGGCTAGATTGCGGAATATGTCGCCAGAGCTGAGCCAGAAAACGGTGTTCTCCCGACTTGTTGTACTCACTGACAGGCAGCGATGAAGGATAGGGGGCACCGTGCGGCCCGATACCACCGCTTTGGAGGCCCTGACCGCCCCTCGAAGCAGCTGCCCTGTGCCCTGCTGAAAAATAGGTTCGGGAAAGCAAGTAAGTACTATGCATCAGCGTCATGAGGCGACAAAGAGATACACCAACTTATTTTTGTTTTCAAGTAAAAACGTGGTAGAAAACGAGGTATGCGTCTTCTATAGCCAAGCACTCGACTGAAGTAAAATATGCAGTAAAGTTAGTTTGTACACCGTCTACCAAGTGAGCCAACCAGCGGCAGCGCATATCCCAATCAACGCAGTAAACAAGCTAGTTACTGACACGACTAAGATTTTAAATATTTTCGTTTGCCTCATTTTGACCTAACTGTTGGATAAATAAGCTAGCGAGGAAACCGGAATATAGCTGACATAGGGAAGTTTTTAAAGTCTTTTAACTTGTCGGGAACTAATTGAACTACACTCACCAGAGAAAGATGTGGCCGACATCTCGGACATGCTTACCGTTTGGAGGTCCCCTACAGCACCCAATCCGCTGTCGACTTAAGATGTAGATGATCTATCGTGCCCCAAACGTAACAGGAAATACCTTCAATTTTGAATCTCAGGTAGTTTGTCGATCCCACAAATGACCATAGTATTGGCTTGCCATCGTATGTAACACCGCGACGGCCGGTAGGATACTGAAGTATGAACCCGCCCACTACTTCGAAGTTATTGAACGAAACGTTGCCGGAGAGAATAAACTTGAACATGTCACCAGTAGTCGAACGATCGTAGGCTAGATAACTCGAACAGTTGGGGTCTGTCTTTCAGCCTACTTGCTAGGCCATAGACGAATCCATGAGCCAGCTGCAAAAAATGCAGACTTTTACTTTTGGCATAAGCAGTCACGGACAAGAAGCATAGAGCTATGAGTTCTAGTACAGTGAAAGGTCAGGAAAGTATCGCGAAGTCCGCTGTCGGTCCTGCGATATTGCGGTTATTTATTAAAAGTAAATTTTTTTCAAAGCTGCCTTGCGGTTAGGATTCAATAAACCTCCAACAAATAATGCGAGGGACTATCCAAGTTCACTAGTACCGTAAACTATAAATTTATCTTATTACAACAAGTAATCGATCTGCGTAACGGCGTCTGCGGCAGTCACTGTGTTTAGCTATCCTGATTCAGTAAGACGGACGACGCGGATGCGGCCAACTCAATCAGCAGTACCGTGTGCTGGAGTACAAGGTATCTCCGCCCCGATACCTACAGGCTGACAACGTCTAGTCTACATCGATACGGCATAGTCTTAATCCCACAAGCAGGCACCCAGAAAATGAAAATTCCTATGGTAAATTCCTGGTTTTCTCTCTACAACGGTGGTCATTGTTATTCATATAGTATATGCTGTGGTGACAGCGTTTTCTAACGAATGAACAAAGTACTGGTGATATGTAATCAACACGATTACGCAAAATCAGGACACCTCCAACACCACTTATTAACCACCACCATAATAATGCTTCCTAAAGGCGACTACAGGAGTTAATAGTGGCATACTAATTCTTGCCGGTGAAATGGTCGGGTTACGTCCTCAGTGTTTTCCCAAAACCACCTCACCAGCCCGTTTGGACTAGACTTGGAATGCGACAGTGACAAAACACTCGATATTCGCCGGCCAGAACGTCACCAAAACGCACTTATTCTGTTGCCTACACACTCCATTCGTGTGTTATTACCACGATAATTCTGTGACCTGCCAGACTAGTTACATTTTAATCAGTTTCTTGAACAGGATGCGTGCAAGGCAGATCGATTAATGGCACCGAGGAAGACAAGGAATATTGTGCAGGTCATGGTCTCGTCAATCAGCATTTAGAAGCTAATCTCTTATCCCCGCAACAATAACTCGTGCCAAACAACAAAAAACGCGCAAACCGTCGACAGCCCACCACCACCGTTGAGTCCTCGAACACAAAATCTTACCTTCATTTTCAGCCGGACAGTAAGGGGAAGGCAGCTGCCAAAACGGCTCAGGCTGCATCCTACTATTATCGTTTTATTTGCCAACGCTAGATTAACGGCAAAATCGGTTTGAGAAGACAGCAAGAATTATTTGATATACATGCTTACTTACATG